AAGGATATGAAGGAACATTTCGGAGGCAGTAGGCTGGGAATGCCAGGTCGCATGTGGGGCAGAGGGGTGAGACTGTGAGGTCGGAAGGGGATGGGAGGGGAGGGTATAACCGCCCGGGAGGGCTGCCTACAATTACATACAGGCCGGGGTCGACGCTGTGAGAAGTTCCCACGGTGTGCCGGGGGACCGGAAAGAGGCGTCCGGTGGGTCGAGGAGGACGGACGGTTTTTACCGTACGGCGTACCGTATACCGCTGTCGGTATATCAGTATCAGGAAAGTGAGGAGGGTGCTAGGGAGGGTTAGAGACGACTGTCTGTGCCACTTATTCAGCCATGTGGCGACGGCTAGGTAGCGAATTTAACCGACTTGAAACACCACTGATTATAATGAATCGAAATCGCATTGGTCTTCAAGCTTTTGTGCTGGATATATTGCTGATGATGGTGCGATGTCTCACGCCCGATGGTGGTGGTATCTAGTGTCTGTTGGCTTATAGCTAGTGTTAAACGTCCGGTGTCTTATGTTGCCGGCCGTGCTAATGTTTATATGTTGTCAGTGGCAGTGGCGGTGCCTCGTTAAAGTGTTTGCGACGGTCGACAATGTCGGTGGCTGTGACGGTCGTAATTGGGAGCGGCAATGGCCGCAGTTAAATCACAGCGTTAGCGATGGCAGTTGACGGTGGTGGTATTCGTCATCCAAAACAGTGATGGCTGCGGCTGCGGTGAAACCACCACCGCTCCATTAGACCCCGGGCTGTCGGCGTATCGCCCAATCGCCAGTTTACTGATTGACCACACCGGCCGGCCCTAAATGACGCGATTCAGCCCCAAATGACTCCAGTCGGCCCAAATGGCTCGAGCCGGCTCAAACTTCTGTCATCGATCATGGAGGATGTCCACAGTTAAATGTCTTCTGATGTGAGACTCCCAGGACAGAGCGAATGGTGATGTTTGCGTGCGTGCGTGTGTGATGGCGGTGTGGGAGAGGACGGCATGAGAGGTGGTGAATGAGAGGCTAATGAGGAATGATGGATGAAATTAGGGGAGCTGATCGCGAATTGATAGTGATTTTAAACGGTAACCGTTATGATGCGCAGCAAATGCACTATAATGGCCAATGTGATAATTAGGGACTCCTTTATCTTTTTTTCTCAAATAAATCCTACTCTACAAATTTTCAATGCTCACATTCAAATTACATTGACGTTATCGGCATCGAGCTGCACCAGCTCAGAACACTGCTGCCAGCAACAGTCATTGCCGATCCATTACGCCGTGCTGAATTCAGAGGGGCGTATCCACGGCATTTCTGCCCACAATTTGCCCCGATTTGGCATCCTGACAGGAATCCTTGCTCACTGCAGCTCGTGAGGCCCACATGGGGGCTGGTCATGACTCAGTTTCCTCAGTTTGACTAGGGTGGACCCTGTTCGACTATGACTCAGGTTCCCATTGTGCTCTCTCCAGTGACTGCCGTCTACGCTTGTCTTGTACCCCGTACCCGCAATATAATAATCGCCTGATTGCTATTATGAACTCATTCCATCCCACTATATTCTACCATCTTGAGCAAGCCCGAAGCACTGTGCCATCCGTTCATCGTTTTATCCTTCCACCTTTCCATTCTTATGAGACGTAGATTGACAGACCATTCTACAAAGCTAGTGCAGCGCTAGCCGTTAGCGTCTTACTTAGCTAGCACGACACATAGGCTATTGTAAGGCTATCGTCTATGCCAGCGTCAGACTCGGGTCCTAAATCGTCCCTGCGGCGGCCCCGTCACTCGTCAGGCTAGCGTGGGCTGTTCGTCGGGTCGGGTCATAGCGGTCCAGGCGATCGCGTGACTGGCTCAAGTTACCTGCATTGGCGGCGATAGCGGCGTTTGGGGGCGGCGGGGGGGGGGGGGGTCATGGTGGGGAGGGGCGGGGGCGGAAGGCTGAGTTGTGCTGCGGGGAGGGGGGGGGGGCTGTGGGTGAGAGTTGTCTGGGCTGTTGTGGCTGTGTGTGTGCGTGTGCGTGAAAATGAAGGCTTATTTGGAGGATTGGAAGTCGCGAATGAAAATTGAGGATTGTGGAAATTTGGATGAAATATCGGAGACAGATATGTTTAATTGTGTAACCCACGTCGTGACGCGGCAATAACTAGACGCATAAAATATGGAAGCCATGTACACTCCACTGAAGAAAAGACCCTTTCTCTTCAATGAACGGCATTCAAATTTTCCCGATAACGGAAACGGCTTTAACAGTCCACTTTTTCTAAGCTGTAGCCAACATACCAAACAACTCTCTCTCTCTCTCTCTCTCTCTCTCTCTCTCTCTCTCTCTCTCTCTCTCTCTCTCTCTCTCTCTCTCTCTCTCTCTCTCTCTCTCTTCCACACGCGTCTTTTGACAACACTATCGTCCTTGAAATCCGACGCCACCGTATACCTCTGCCAAGGGCAACCAACTGCGCCTCAAATCACAAGCCGTCAGCGAATTGCCGATGATTGGCGGTTTTGTTTTATGGATCCACCGTCATGCATCAGTGAGGTCACCCGTGGTGAGTCGATGCAGTCGATAGAATACCAGACAGGTCAACTAAATGATTGACCGCACAGGAATGTCAGGAGGCGAGCGAATTTATGCAGGTATGTGAAAATAACGAGATAGAATAAAAATATCGACTTTTTACTAAAACACTCGCTGGTACCTTAAGTAAAGTCATGTAAAGTTTAAACTCTACTATCGTGGAAAAAACAGCGTAGTTAACATCCACACTGAAAACTTGTTTACCATTTCCTGATGGGTAAACCCGCCATAGCATGGTAGCTTGACACACAGACGTTTTTTACCACCTTCCAGATGGTAAATTTTACTCTTTCATGAAGCGTAAACTCGCCAGGGAGGGGTAACATGACACACAGACGTTTTTTACCATCTTCTGAATGGTAAACTCTTTTGATTTACTCTTGTCTAGAGTGTAACATTTTTTGGGTTACACTCTTTGAAAGGGTAAATCTTTAACGGAACCCTTTTTTAGGGAGTAACGCATCATCTACTCTGTGCTTTACCCTCCTACAGAGAGTATATTCTTATGTCCTACCCTTTGTCACATGGTAATGTTTACTCTTTCCTTTAGTGTAAACCCCCCAGAGGATGGTAACAGACCCACAGACGCTTCCTTCAGAAGCTTCACGAAGCTTCTGATAACCGGAGCTCACCAACTAAAAAAAAAATGTTTCAAGAGCAACAATGTAGGTGTATTTGGCTTCCGTACAAACAATACGAGGGGCACACCAACCATGAACATTGTGAGACTCTTCACTTATTCATACAAATTTATACAAAGCGTTCAGCAATGCACAAGCGGTAAATAAACACCACGATACAACTTGAATGCAATTTGAATATGAATACAAGACATTCAGCGCCCTCATATTGGATTAGGCAGAGCGCACAATATTTGAAGTGAGCGACGGCGTTCCTGGGTGGTCGCCCGTCTGCGTGAGATAATGAGACTGGATCACTACAGTGCAAGGCTTTTTCAAAGTCACCAACAAAATGCATAAACTTGTAGCATCACAACAAAATTAATGTACGTACTCACAACACTAGGCCACGTGGCCGTGCACGGGGTCCTGTTAACCAGGTCAAATTAGCACCACTCAACGGCACGCAATGCTCTAGCACATCGGTACTTACAATAAAATGTCCACAGAGGCTCTATAGGCGATGCACAACACACAAGCACAATCACCAACGGCCACGCCGCGCGGCACCGACACTGCTCACATCCGCTCTCGGAGACCAACGGCCGAAAACTGACAGATGCGCGCGGCCTTCAAACCGCAAACGGCCGATCTCGTTTCTGATTGGCTGATTGTTTCCATTTCAAAAATCATCTTCACGAGGGTAAACAAGATCCACGCATGAAACGACTATCTGTACCCGAGTCATGATACCCAGGAGGAAAGAGTTTTCGTGATGTTCTGGATCGCGAGAGTAATATTGATATTTACATGGTAATGATACTCTTCGCTGGCGAATAAGCTCATATTAACCACGTACCGTTACTATGCACATAATGGTAGCAGCGAGTTACCCTTTCAATGTACTATTATCTTGCGGGTTTGATGAAAATGAACTCTCCAGGAGGTAGTAAAAAAGTTTTGAGTGCAACTAAGTTTCAGGGCCTTGTATTGAAGCACCCTGTGTAAATGCGAGCATGATATCTTGGGGGTAGATTTTCCCCGTCTTGCTGTACTCCTGTTTTTTTAGCTACCACCATCGCTTCTCTCCAAAATTTCATTTGGTACTGATTTTAATTAAGGCTGAATTAATGCAAAATCCCACCGGCAGCACTATTCATAATTCAGCCTCTATTGACTCTTGCGTGAACTGCCGGGGAAAATTGGGTCACCATGTTTGTCTCTTCCTGCTGTTGTTTACCACAGACAGGATCTGTGATATTATCTGTCCACTTTTTAACGGTAGAGCAGACTTTCCCCTTGAGTGCTGGTGCGTCGAATTCGAGTGAAAGACGTCTGAAAGGCATCGAGTGAAAGACGACCAAGGTACACGAAGTTTTTTACGTTGTATTGTTTATTTATTTTGTCATATGTCTTGGATAAGAAATAAACTTTGAGTCCTTTGTCAATTATCTCTGTGGCTCTTCGAGTCTTTGTGTCAATTGTGCATTTTCTTTACGTTTCACCCCTTATTTTCATTTTTTTAATGCAATAAATCTGTTCAACTCATGCAGTACTACTTCAATCCAACCATTTCACAACCAGCACTACCCCACACTCAGCGATTCCTACGCACCACCCGGCCGGAAAACCCCGTCACGCTGCGCGCACCTGGTGGCGTAATTTTCCGCCCGTACACCTGTGTATGAGACGGACCTGCCCTGCGGGTGTGCCGGTCGGCCGCCGCCGCCGCCGCCGCCGCCGCCGCCGCCGCCGCCGCCGCCGCCGCCGCCGCGGTGCGGGAACCCACCTGAGCGAACGAGCCGCCCCACACCGCATACCTGGGCGACAAAACCAGCTGGGGAAGCGAGCTCAGTGGAGGGACCGGGCTGGCCGGGCGGGCCGCGTGCAACCTAGCGGTCGCAGGGCCTCTGCAGGAAGAGGTACTGGAGCAGAAAGGAGGACAGCGAAAAGAAGGACAAGAGAGGATAGTGGAGAGGACGGCACGTGGCAGGAGTGGTGAAGGGAAGGCGTTGTGATCGGTGAAGAGAGAGTGGGTGGTGACATTGCGAAAGGTGGCGAATTTGGGGTTCTTTGCGCTCCAGCGTTCGCGAGCGGCGGAGTGACTGGTTTGACATGGCTGACGTGTGCTGACGTGTGCTGACGGTCGCTGAGCCACTGACAGCGGTGACCTGGGTACTCGGGAACAAGTTTGGCTACCCGCTGAATCAGCCATTGTGCGTAGGCAAACGTCAGCGATTTCGGCGAGGTATTTTGCTCGTCGGGAAGTCGAGAAATATCCAACTAGTTGCGTAGAAAGTTCACCATCCGTGACGCTCTCGAACCTCGCGTCTCACGTGACAACGCTGTGACGTCAGAGAACTGTGACGTCATCGTGAGCTCTGTTGTCTTTCGTCTTACCATTGTGCTCAACGCCCAACTCGCCGGCTATCTCAAAACATCCTACCCACACCGCTCTCTGCGCCTGCGGCCAGCTTTGTTTACGTATTGTGCCGAGCCTCGTGGCAAGATCGTCTCTGATTGGCGGCTGGGCCAAGGTCAAACAGTGCTGCCAGACCCTGGGGGCGTGGCGTCTGAAGTGGTCTGGCGTGAGAGCACTGGACTGCGTCGGCTAGTGACCAGTGACCACAGGCGACTGAACGAGTGTAGCTTGTGCTCGGAGACGCGAAAGAAGTCTGAAGATGGCTCTGTAAGCCAACTAAATGGTACAAACGACTGCGACGCTCAAGAGCAGTGAACTGACAGAGAAGGATTTCAACAAGGACCTTTGTGATTAGTGAAATTTAAAGCAAAAGAAGTGCAGTGCGAGACAGTGGAACGAAGGAAGTGGTTTTCGAACTGTGAGAGACGTAATCTACAGTGTATTGAGGACTGAAAAACACCTGGCACCCGAAGTTGCTTGGGACTGCCCATCTAGCATAGTCTTCTGTCGTCACCAACAACGGCTTCCAGCATCCTCATCAAGGATCGTCCCCGCATAGCTGGGACGTTTGAAGTGCGCGTTAGTGCCGTTCCTTCTCCTGTACTTCGTCTTCGCGTCACACCCTCCACGATGGCGCCTCCTGCTGCCCCATTGGATTCAGCACCTCTGACTGTGCGAGCAGCTCGCGCTTACTTGCGCCTCCTGCAGTCCAGCCCCATCCTCACCAAGTCGGTCTCTAGCGCCATCATCAGCGCTCTGGCCGATCTCTCGGCTCAGACAATCCTCCGCAACAAGCGTTTCAACCTCTCCAGCGCCGGCAACTACGCCCTGATGGGCCTGGTCATCACAGGACCGGCCACCCACCACTTCCACCGTCTTCTAGATCGATGGCTTCCTCCGACTCTTCCAGCAGCGGCATTTCTTCGTCTCGCTGCCGACAGGCTCCTCTTTGGACCTGTGTTCCTTCTCGTAACGCTATACGTCCTCAACCGTCTTGAAGGACATTGTCATGACAGCACTGTCTTCATGTTGAAGAACGGCTTCTTGCCGATGTTCAAGGCGAACCTCAAGTTCTGGGTTCCGTTGTCGTACATCAACGTCAACTACGTGTCGCAGGAGTACCGCGTGCTGTTCGGCAACGTCTGTGCCTTCTTCTGGATCATCATCATGGCGAGCAAGAGGAGGAGGGCGGCGCTGCGAGAGGCTGCCAGGAGAGACCGTGAGGAGGAGGAATGAGGATGCTGGAGAGGAATGAGGACAAAGGAGGACTGGAGACTGGAGTGACACGGGCTGGGAAGGCGACGATGGAGTTGGCTGGGAATTGGAGTCTGTGCTCAAGGGAACGTGGAGAGATTTGAAAGAATGATACATGTTTTACTCGTTTTGAACGTAAGCAGTGTATGAAAGTGCATACTACATTATATGTAAGTGGAGAATGTGTTTAAATATGCAGCACATGTAGGCATGGTGGGTAGGAACTCGAATGTTTATTTTGGAACACGAACTGAGCGCTCACGATAGAATGGAACCGCGGTCTGTTGGCAGAGCGGGAGTTACAAATGTGGGCAAACTGTGACACTGTTGTGAGGGACCAAGCTCGCTTGAGTGATTTGCTATGAAGCGACTCAGCCAACTCACCTATGCTCGCTGACATGTCACGTGATGTCACCGCTGTTGGCCGGACTTTGCCCGCTTTCCAAGCCTGGTTGACGAAAGCCCCGGATGTATGTTGAGTAACAACAATCACGTGACCGGAAAAGCGTAGGCGCTGTAAGCACATGCTGTGGATGAAACTCGGTCGGAGGTCGTTCACCCCCGAGTAATTGGTGTAATTAGCAATTATCCCGATGGCTGGTTTATAAGTATGCCGTTTCAAGCTGCACTTGTTTTCAGGTCGCGAACCGCCGCTGTTTTTTAGCGCTGGTACGGACCGTTTTATCTGTTATTGTGATCTTATGGTGGTGTGTTGGTGAAAATATACACATAAACGGGCTCGATGGAAATGCGTTCTTCTTTTATTGCGTATTTAGCACGAGTGATCACGTAATATATGCGTCAGATCGAAGATCATATCGTTGACAAAACTTGAGCGCTGGTTTTAAATGCACGATTATGTGATAGTTTTGGATCAAGGATATTGTAATGCTCACAGCCATGAAATCGATCATCTGCATAGTTTAGTTGCGCCAAAGATCTACTGATATCACAGAGGTAAATAATTTCAACAATCATTATCATAAGTAACTGTGTGGCAAATCATGCGTTGCGCCTTCAACCACATATTCTCAATACCATTTTTCTTGTCTATGTCCCGTTTTTCCTTGGTATCGTCGGTTACAGGGACTCTCAGCCTCTCCACTCCACTACTCTCCGTTGCTACCCGGTCACAAGGCTTCCACCCTCGAGAGGCGAGACGAGCATGGCTTCCATTGGTCGCTAAGTGGCATTAGTTCTTCTTGTTCGGTTCAATAACCCATCATCGATCAGTGTGAGGCGGTCGCCAGGGAATGACGATCAGTTCGGGCCTTCAATCTTTCATTCAAAGTTGTGTTTTTAGTTTAGTTTCAGGGCTCGATTTCTCTTTTAATTTTCATTACCCAAGTATAGAAATATTCAATTACTAAGGATACACCAAGAAATAAAATTAGATCATTGATAACAAGGGATAATGAATATCATGGTATTTTTCTTCCCCCCCCCCCATTTCGAGACTCATCATCCGCCCCTGTCCGGCGCCAGGCGCCTGCTGCTATCTAAACAAACGGCACATGAACTACGGTTGTAATGACATCCAGAGCATTAGGTTTGAAGGATTGCAGAGCCGACTGGGTAAATCCAAGTTTGATTTTTCTTACCAGCACATGGACGAGCCTAGCTTATATGCTAATATGTTTTAAATATACCTTTTGAAGGATCATTCTCGTCTGGAATAAGAAAAAGGAAGGGTGGTAAGTAATGAGCACTTGAGTCTCGCCTGCTGTTTTTTTTTTTAGTCCACCCTCATCCTGTCTGACGACGTCCATGCATCACCTCATAACCTTCTCTCGCCTCTCAACCTTTTCCCAGCTTACACCACCTTTATTCTCATATTACCCCACTCACCCCTCCCTGCCGTCCCTGGCATCGCCTCTGTGCACCCACATTTCCCAGTCACCCCTCACCTGGCGTCCCTGACACCGCCCCTGCCGCACCTAGCACCGCCACCCGACGTCCGGGTACACTGGTACAGGCCACGGGCAGGTTCCATCACCCATCCCCGGTCCAAACCGGTCCCAGCTGGCAGCGCTTGTCGCTGGGTCATCTGGCAACTCTGTCATCCCTCTCCCAGTCTCGCTGTGCTCTGTCTCTGTCTCTGTCTCTGTCTCTGTCTCTGTCTCTGTCTCTGTCTCTGTCTCTGTCTCTGTCTCTGTCTCTGTCTCTGTCTCTGTCTCTGTCTCTGTCTCGCTCTCTCTCTCTCGCTCTCTCTCTCGCTCTCTCTCTCTCTCTTTCTCTCTCTCTCTCTCTCTCTCTCACTCTCTCTCTCTCTCTCTCTCTCTCTCTCTCTCTCTCTCTCTCTCTCTCTCTCTCTCTCTCTCTCTCTCTCTCCTCTCTCGTTATCATCTTCCTGCTCCCACCGCTGCAAGCTAGAAGTAATGACAAGGCAGCAAAGAGCGAGTGCACAGTGGAATCCGTCGTTCAATTGAGTCTGACCCGGATTTAACCGTGACGCCGGGGCCAGTAGGCGGGTGACCTCATACTCTGGCCATAGTGGGCAGCAAGTGGGTGCTCTGAGTCAGAGACGACGTCACAAGCGGTCACCAAGCCAATCAGCGATAAGGTGGTGGTCTGGGTGACATCATACATAGCCAGGGCTCGATCTCATTGGTGAAGAGGACCGGGAAGAGCCAGGTAGTCAGGCGGCTCAGGGTCAGAAGACCTTGGAGTGGCGGCTGACTTGGATCTGCAGCCGCTGCCGCCGGCTCTGGGGCGGCTTCTCCCACGTGACTTCCGTGTTTGGGATCGGGCACCGTCAAGGACAGTCTTGTCAGCAGCCGAGCTGGTTAGGGTGACTGTAAGTTCATGGTAGCGAAATTCATAGGGGAGCCTGGATGAGATCGGGGCAATGCAATTCACCCTCATGTAAATCGTTGAAGCTAGGAATGACAAGTGCTGGACGAGCTATGCGACGAGGTCAAACGACTATGTATTTTTATACCTCCAGCTGAGGTATCACTTATGCGTTCATTGCAAGGTCTACACTGTTCATCTTCAGACTTTGTTGAAGTTTTCCTCGTCGGCATTACGGCGCCATTCTTATCTTGGTTTTGGTTCTGCTGACTGCTATTGCAATTCATACGGAGTTTTGCATCCGCAACCTAACCTGCTTAAACTGAATCGCTTTTCCGATGCTAGCTCATGATACACGAAGGTCCAGTTGGTTTCACATCCGCGTGAGAAGTCCGCTCCCATCACTCCCTTACGCAACTGCCGCATTACTACCGCGTTACCGTGAGAGTACCATCAACTAACCGCCGCCCCTGCCGTGCTAGTCATGTTAGTGAAGTCTCGGATCCTCTGGTCACTCCACGACGTGTTGGAGAGGATGACTGGCAGGATTTAGACGACCTGGCCTGGCGCAGTGGTCAAAGTCCAGAGTTGTGAGTCGCATGTGACTCTGGCTTTCAGTCCGAGGCAGCTTAGGAGTTGGAGGAATTGATGAAACAGGGAAATGAGCTGGTGTGGAGTTAGAAGGTTAGAGACAGACTAATTCCATGAGACCATGATGGATAATTCAATTCATTGCATTCGCATTACCGATGACACTTATATTGTCCGCTCAAACAATCAAAATCATATTACTGAATTTCAGCTTCTAAATTTGTTAGCGGCAACATCATTCAGGTAAATGTTTCTCTTGCTATTTTTATGATCGAGGTTACAACTAAGGAAGCTCAGGCGATGCACTTGAACTGGTTTTCCGCAGGAAAACGTTGCCGCCAATTCCCAAACCTGTCCCAGATTCGCAAAACTTCTTCCTGTGTCACACCGTCCCATTGATCGCTGTATAAACGTCCGGTGCGGCTGCCGATCTGTCGTTAGTTGTGTTGTCCTGCGACCTGCGCCATAGTCGATGCCGACGTGTTCCCCGTCGATGCCGATGTTATCTGGGAAACGACGACGACGCTAGCGACGGGGTTGACGGTGAATCAATTTGTAGACCTCTGGGGCCTGGCGCAGTTGGCTTGTTAAAGACGTGACGTTGAAAAATTGAAGGCAAATGCTGGAACGTTCATGTGTTTTGGGGTATTTTGGTGGTCAAATGATCACGAGATCCTTGTCGAATCGATGGAAATTGTGTTGCCAACATAACCATCGATTCTTTGAATCAAATCACGCGATCCATTTCTCGCTGCTGCATAGGAGCTGCTCAGTTATCGTAAAACGTCGAGAGCCGCTATCTCACAGCAGTGTTTATTCCAAGTTTAGCCTATGTCCGGCATGCCAAATTCTTGCCAAAGCTTTGTCTGTAGGCTGTGGACGTCACTGTGGTAGCTGCCTCAGCGCGATACAGACTAAATGGCAATGTGCGTTTGGCATTGGATCAATGTATATGGACAGCAATATCTCCTGTCATACGCCAGTCGATCCGGACGAACGACCCGCATCTTTCTGGGTTGCCAGGCAACCGAAGCCATAGCCAATGCCACCACGCATCCATTAGAGAATGGCATTGTTAGGGTGTGCCGAGCAGGGGCGGATTACACTGAGGAATGAAATAAGATGTTTCAGCTTGCAGACTGGAACCAATGCAAATCCTTTACAGTTTCTTTTGGTAGCACGAGTCGCTCAGTTATACCACAACGAGCTGAGTAGTATTGGTTAGCCCTTTGGCTCTATATCTTTACCTTTCTCATTTTCTTTCTCCTTTTCCCTCCTCAGCTCTGCTCCTTCTTTCCTCCTCCTCATTCTCTCTCTCTCTCTCTCTCTCTCTCTCTCTCTCTCTCTCTCTCTCTCTCTCTCTCTCTCTCTCTCTCTCTCTCTCTCTCTCTCTCTCTCTCTCTCTCTCTCTCTCTCTCTCTCTCTCTCTCTCTCTCTCTCTCTCTCTCTCTCTCTCTCTCTCTCTCCTTATCATCTCTCGCATGTGTCGTCTCACACATCTCATCCCTCACAACATCCCCTCCTATCTCTATGCCTATCCTCTCTCTTCTTTCCTCACCTCACTCCTTTTTATCATCTCACCAGCTACGAGCGGTCAGCCGGAGCCATGGCAGGCCGTTGATCCCACCTCACTGATACATCATGCATGTCCGGGTTATAACTTGTAGCTACATAATCTGACCATTGCATTGACCCGTTACTGGATGGCTACCTGTAACGGTTCTTCAAGTGGAGGATGAACCGTGAACATATCAATAGAGGGTCTTGGGGTGAAGGTATAGAGGTGGCTAGCGAGTGGATTAGATCACTAGCCCTTTGTTACAAACATCCCTTTTGACAAGGCTCAATTGGCCAATATTCACGCAACAATCGCTCAGAGATGTACATTTTACTCATGGCTGCGTGGTGGTGAAAGCGGGAGAGGAGGCGAAATGGGAAGGGTATTTGCGAATAGCCAACTGCGATTGTCCAGCCGAAACTTATCTGCCTCTTGCCTTTATGTAAAAGTGTAAGTCATCTTTAGGATGACATCACCATTCTACGAGCCTGGTTTCCAATACCTATCGTGAGTAGTAAATTCCTTTGACAATCCACGAGTGCAAAGTTCAGGCATCTGTCCTATCTTACCACTTCAGTTTGATCGCCTATCATACTTGGCAAGCTGCCAAACCTCGGAGTGTCACCTGAGACTAGTTTCTGTCATTGGGTGAAAAAGGAACTGCGGTAAATCAATCTGGTCCTGCGATAGAATGTGACGAGATGAAAAGTCTTCGGATTTTTCGGAGGGCTGAGTTTCTCCGCGTAGATTCCAGTTTCTTCCCCACCAATGCGCTAAGTGGCAATTTTGAAGCGCGGAAACCCGGGGTGGAGGATTGATCGGGGTAATACTAACCCTCCCATAGAATCGTTATGTAAAAGCTGCACTCGGTCTTCAGTCTGAATTAAGTGATGTGGTGCTGTGTGGGAATTCCATGAATGGACGCTATGAAAGCGTCCATAATAAAAGCTGGTGTAAGAAGATCGTTTTCACATAGAGCTGTTCCTTGTTGACATAACTTTTCCTCGTTGAAATAGTTCCGCGTGGTTGCGTAAGTCGCCCGTTTTCATTGACTCTGTCATTCTGCATTTAAAACTAATCCCAATAAAAACCTTTTCAACACCACGGTGGACGTAATCTATGTACAAATCGGCACTAAATCGTCTTTTTATAGCAGCGACGAGTCCTCTATAAGGAAAAGAGACCTTCCGTGCGTCAGTGTCACCGCCAGAGACCCTCAGTGCCAGCCGTGGATCGGTGGCCTTGGAGAAACATTGCCCCAGTTTTTAACTCCGATATCGAACGATGCGAAATTCTTGAAGAGGATTTGACGACCATATTGACAATAGTAGGAGTGTCTGTAAAATTGTGATGATAAGGGTTTTAAACAACTTTGTTGATTGTGAGGATATTGATGTTCTAACATGAAAGTCAATGTCGAATATCGATAGCTCAGTCTTTCCTATACCTTTCGCCGAAGGTGAAAGGGATTATAGCTTTGGAAAGCGTAGTTTGAAACATCGATTCTCTTTCCAAGGAATGTTTACGACTCACGGTTGAAAATTGCCTTTTGACATACCACATATCATCTTATAATGCTGTGTATCTCTTCAGTGCGCAAACATTTCTCTCCGTCCCCAGCACCACCATCTCCAGCGCTTGAAACCCACGACTACGACACACCATCAGCATCCCATTCTTTTGCCGGACACCAAGACATACCATCATCACCCTCAAAATCCATCAGCTCAATCTCTACTCGCCTTATAATGTATAGAAAGATATATGAGGAAATGAGGTCAAGTTTTGTGCCACAAGGTGTCGATCTGAGCCGCGACCCTCTGGCGGACCCAGACCTGGCTCCATACCTCATGCGCGGCGTTACTCAGTGTCCTGATTTATCGTGTCTAGCTCAGCCTTAGCTGTAGTTACCTGTGAGTGTGCATATATGTATAGGTATACCTATTTGAGGCATGCATGTCTGTACCGCCGTACCGGTTACTTTGTTTGTAATATATTTCTCTCCGTAGTTTCTACAAGTTTGTGTCACGTGGAGTGCATATAATTGCATCTATTTTACCTCCAAATGAGACGAACGAGACATATTTAATTCATAACAAAATTATCCGTTGCTGTAACTACTTTAAAATTAATGAGTTGAATCTTCGACAAATTTATATCGTCAGCGTTCTTTCTCGGTCGCATTACATAAAATACCATTGGTACTTCAAAATAAATAAATAAATCCTCAGTTTCCTGAACGATGTTTTCTTGCCAGTCATCAGCTTTTAACGAACTAAAATTATGACTAGCACCGTACCAAGTTCTTTCGTCGAACTTGGTGGATACTATGAAGGTGAGAATCGTTGACACACTCAAACGTTTTTGATATTTAACGAAAAATATAAAATTGATAGAAAATGATAACCGGAGCAAGTTCCGAAACTTGTTTCAACGCATCGTTACACAAATGCCCGAACCTGACGAAAACCTTAGCACGATCGTTGTGGAAGCAGAACTTCGACAGCCACTCAACGAACGCTAGCTGGTATTTAGTTGTGCTCACTTATGTGTCGTTGTTACGATAACAATTAATGTCAGCAGTTGGTCAGCGCCGATTTAACTGTCTTCCTTAGAAGTAGATACTTATTTCACCGACGCATGCAACCGCTTTTAATCATGCCTATGCCTCCATTAATTTCTTTTATTCTCCTTTTCAGGACACCTATCGTCACCCTCCCGCCGCTGCGCGACCAGCCGAGCAGCTCAGTCGCCTTCACCACTCGGCCGATCACGTGACCGCCATGGCCGCCTCGCCGAGGTTCGGTGGGCCGCCCACAGGTGGCTCTGCCATCGCCGACGACGACTCGGCTATTGGCTGCAGCTCAGCCAGTCCCGAGCCGCAGGTCAAGGTCAACGGCGCCAGGTGAGCTCAAGTTCATTCAAAGGTCACCAAGACTCAGTGGCGCAGCCAGGGGGGGTGAAAGGGGTGAGATCTCACCCCCGTCTCTTATCCTAGGGGCCCACCGTCGATTCTAACTGTAACGTTATGCAGCCTGACAATTTTTTATCATAATGTCAAGGCCCGTCATAGGACTGAAAACAGTTTTCAGGCCTGATAGCCCCCTTTAGGATTTATAGTCCCATTTTATGATTTAAGAGGGTACATCCAAGACCCGATTGAACTAATCCAAGGCCTAGGAGGGCCCGTTCCACGGCATGAGAAGGCCATTTCAGGCCTGAGAGGGCCCATTTCGGGTCTGTGAGGGCCCATTTCAGGCCTGAAGGGGCCCATTTGAAGCTTGAGAGGGCCCATTTCAGGCCCTAGAGGGCCTGTTTGAGGCCTGAGAGGGGCCCATTTCAGGCCTGAGAGGGCCCATTTGATGCTGTGAGGGCCCATTTCAGGCCTGAAGGGATCCATTTCAGGCCCTAGAGAGCATGTTTGAGGCCTGAGAGGGGCCCATTTCAGGCCTGAGGGGGCCCATTTCAAGCTTGAGAGGGCCCATTTCATGCCCTAGAGGGCCCGTTTGAGGCTAGAGAGGGTCCGTTTGAGGCCAGAGAGGGCCCGTTTGAGGCCAGAGAGAGCCCGTTTGAGCGCTGAGAGGGGCCCATTTCAGGCATAAGAGGCACCATTTCAGACCTGAGAGGGCCCAGTTACGGTATGAGGGGCCTTTTTCGACATGATAGGGACCATTTCCGGGCTGAGGGGGCCCATTTCAGGTCTGAGAGGGCTAATGTCAGGCCTGAGAGGGCCCATTTCAGACCCTAGAGGACCTAGTTGAGGCCTGAGAGGGGCCCATTTCAGGTCTGAGAGGGCTAATGTCAGGCCTGAGAGAGCCCATTTCAGGCCCTAGAGGACCTTTTTGAGGCCTGAGAGGGTCTACTTCAGGCCTGAGAAGGGACCATTTCAGGTCTGAGAGGGCCCAGTTCAGGCCTGAGAAGACATCCCAGGAATGAAAGAATCATCCTATGTGTGGGAGGGTCCGTACTCCGTGCCTGGTCTGGTTCTGAGAGGGCCTACCCCAATCCTGATTGAACCGATATCATGTTTGATATAGGTCAACTCACCACACGTATATTGATGGCCCAGTTCATGTCTAATGGACCCATCTCAAGACTCAGATATTTTATGCTTCAGGAAGCCTACCCCAAGCGTGAGGGGGCCCATAGGGGTTTTTGAGGCTCATGGAGTTCAGAAGCAGCGGAACACCTTCAATTAAGGGGGGGGGCACTGCCGACTTTTGGTCCCATTCTTTCCATGCAACGCCCATAGGGCTAATGTTAAAATGCCAAAATCAAAGGGGGGCACGGTGCCCCGGTGCCCTCCCCGTTCCGCCGCCTATGATGGAGGTCCCGCAGTACGATATGTCAGCCTCTGAGAAAGCCACGCAGGGCCCTGCCAAGCCGACATCTGAAAATCTTCTCCTCAGGCCTGTGCCTGCCTCACCGCCCGGCCCCACCCCGACGTCTAGGAGTTTGACGCCTGGGTATTTATCAGGACCCCACACCGGGCCATGATGGCTCCAAACTGACACCTGAGGCTCCTGCACCGGCTTTTGAGGGGCCCACCGACCTCTGATAGCCACCACGCAGGCCTCAAAAGACCATGTCGATTGTCGATATCTAAACCCCGAAGTCTTGGAAGGCCTGTGCTCTATGCAGATTCTTGAGGGCTTTACGTGGGCTTGTAAATATCCCAGACTGGCTCTAGCCTAGCTCGACCGCGCCCCGCAGAGCAGGGCCCCAGGCTTTCCAGTTTTACGCCCTTGAGGGGTGTTTGAATATTCCCTTCTAACCTGACTCCAGGGTCACGAAGCGACAAGTGCGGCGGTAGGCGGCTTTCTAAAGAGCGTCGAAAATCATGGAGAAATTACTTCAGTCATATTGCAGTTCAGACCAAAGCACACGTCATAATGTTCATCGAAAGAAAAGTTTCGCCTATCTCGACACTCGAGGACATAAAAAGCTATAGCGCGCTGAAAGTGGGTTCGATAGCTCTCTAACTCGTGCAATCAGCCATGGTGGGGGGGGGGGGGCGTATCGGCCAAACCTGATCATAATTTAAGACGGCTAGAAAGACGAGAAACGCAACGGATAGCTATAGGATGCTTCAGAATCGTAGAGGTCATTTTTCGATTAGGTCATCGCTGAGGTCATTGAAGATGAAGTTATGATAAAATTATGATAAACACAAAGACAAGATTACGACGAAAAAATTTTTGTTTTTATATTTTTCACAAATAACCGTATAACTCGTGAACCAAAAGAGCTAGAGCTTTGCGGAACAACTCATTCGTTAGGTCTTTCAAAACGCTTTCGCTTTTAAGATTTGACCTCAATGCCTCATGTCAATGGTTTGGCAACAGAGCAGAAGGTAAAACCGGCAAAACCATCTAAATAGTCGCATTATACCAAAACAGTTTTGCTAAGAATTTTTGCAAGGACTTTGGTGAGAAAAAACTATGAGACATTTACTTTGTCATCATTCTCTTGTTAACATGCATCGATTGAGCTACCTATAATTTCACATAAAAAGTTCAACTTCAAAATGTGACCGCAGATCAAGGTCATGCCCTTACTTGAGAAGTTCATGATGGTCATCAACCGATCCGTATGGATGATTAACACCTTCAAGACAATGTCATAACTCTACCTCGTCTCCTATATCAAAAGTAATAGTCGAAAAACTGATGTTGAGCTTTTTTAAAAGCCTTTTGACCTAGCCCGACCCTTTGAGTGGCCGCTGGCCATCAATTGCACGCTGTCCATCAAATATGGGCAGAATGGTCGTGTTTCTGTAAATATGCTGTTGTTTTTTACGTGCCTCTTCAGATCAAGAGATATTTGTCCTTTTCCCCGATTTGGCTGGTAATGATGACAATGATCTGACCTTTCGTTGTTGGTAAGGGGCCCCCATTTGGTTGAGGGGCCCACTTTGCTGGGGGGCCCATCGCGAACGTCTCTCACCCCCGTCGCCAGAGTTCTGGCTGCGCCACTGCCAAGACTTTCCAAACTATTTTTTTTTCATTGATAGGTACTCTCAGCTTGATTAGAGTACTTTTTAGGTTGTCAACGAATGATGTATGCCATTTTGATTTTATGAAAGTCCAACTTCTTAGCTGCTGTTTAAATACACTATCCATATAAAATACTTTATTTCTTTGCATATCCTTCCTTCATTTGTTTGATTCACATCAACCTTCACTTTACGTCACCCAATAATTCTATAACTAGATAAAGAACTTCAAAAATCATGACGCTTCTGAGTCCCACACAAGTTCCAGCACTCGCCTTGCTCCAGTGACCTACCCCTTTACACCCCAAATCGACCCTTGACCCTCAGACAGGCACGTGCCAACCGAAACTAGTGGGTTTCCCAGTCACGTGGCCAGGTGATTCAGCGCTAGTGTGTTGGTAGAGTGAGATCACGTGGCACGTATGGCGCGGTCACCTGTGGTGGTGGTGGTGTGGGGAGGGGGGAGGTGAGGGGGGGGGGTTGACGAAAGCCCACGACGTGGGCGGATGTCTGTGGTCTACTTTTGACGCGACGCACACTTGCGAACCCTGTGAGCTGACGGGTACTTTTTATGCTGAGTTGATGCGATATAGGTCTGACGACATGTAAAGAGCTGAAGTCAGTATACGCTCTGCAGTGTCTACATATCGGTCGACAAAACGAACTCTCTTGTGCATCCTGCGTTTACGACTTGTCCTGCTTGTCAACCTAGCACGTTTACAACATGTTTCTGTATGTTTTTCAGTCCAACCATCAGTATCTCGGATCAGGAGGAGAACTTCGAGTGCCTGGGCGAAGGATCGGAAAACGACCTCAGTAGAAGGTAAATGGGAAGCGACTGAGAGTCGCGCGACTTGTGGACGAGAGTCGCGCGACTGGTGGACACTTTCCGCCCGGCGTGACTCATGGAGGACGGTTTGGGCAGGAGCTGTAGAAAAATGGGTCAATGATCAAAAGAACTGTGTATTGGGAGCTCTCAGGAATCAAGTACAACTCATATTTTATAACAAGAGAATAAGGCTGCCACATGACTGGTAGCTTTACCAGCCATGTGGCAGCGATACTATAACCAATGCGCCCTCGCACAACGCACGCGTGACCACAGGTGCGGATATACGGCAGTAAGTGAGCCATTCAGGTGTGCGTGTGTGCCAGCGCGCTGTCCCAGAGAGGTTAGTGTGCCAGATTATGGCTGTGCCGGTCAAGTGGTGGGTATATACGGTTATCATTGGAACCTGGGACAGCCACAGCAACAGATGGTGTCGCGATTAGGGATAAGGGAAAGTGTGTGCCTATTGTGATATTATTGTTGTGGCAGGATGTAAGCGAGAGCCGTTTTCGGGAAGCCAAACAAAATTTATCTTCTAGCTGCTATCGTTTAACAGTACAAAATCATCAGAACTGTTGAACCAATCGTTTAACGTGTTGTCGCTAAATAATTTCAAAACATACTGACATCAGCAATTTAAGTTTTTGTTCCAACTGGACACAATATAGCTAGTACTGGTACTGGTACAAGATACTGGTGACTCATAGTCAATGCCCTATTATGCTTTACCTCGCCACACATTCCAAGAACATTCAGGCTAGCAGGAAACGTTGGCCACCCCTCGTTGAAACCAAGACCGGCAGTCACATGGCTGACCCACTATCGTCACGTTTGGCTCCCAGTCGGCTTGACCTGGTGACCCCACGCACTGTGACAGATCTGTCAGTCTCCAGTCAGGTGACAGGGTCATCTGTCACGGGGCTGGGTCGGATGTCAGTGTGGGAGGATCGTATGTCAGTTCGAGGAAGGGCGATCTGTCACGAGTAGAAAGGCCGAGATGGACTACCACCCGTCAAGTGAGGTTTTTAATTAGTTTAGCAAGTAGCGAGAATTCCAATGTCACATTATGCTGTGGATCAGAGCTGCAGTCCGGTTCTTGAACTCGCAAATGATCTGCAGCGTCTCAAAAACGAGCTAAATTTATACCGAGCCAAGACGAAGTGACAGCTCAGGCCAGATGATTGGAGGTGAATATTTGTAACCTTCTTGACCTCAGGTGACCCCACGGTTACCTTTGTGATGTGGTTGTTTTTTCTCGCTGGACATCGTGGACAGATGACCTCAATCGTTGTGTCAACATTCGGCCATGTGGAACTTGCCGGCTTGAATAGATTTGGAACGGCGTAGTGTGCTAAGTCAATGTTGATTTAGCATGGCACGAGAGCGTTGTTTAGATTTTGTTGTGGAGTTAATTTGGACTGTTGCTGAGAGAGAAATGGGTCACAAACAAGGAACTACGAATGGGCGATGAACACGCCGATCGCTAAAAATGTGGCACGATTGACTGATCCGGATCATGGCGCCCATGGAAGCGGGTTATGTAACCGTCCTTTGTAGATTTCAGTGATGTCTGATGTCCTGCAAAATTTATGTTGTGTCGGGCTGGAAGATGAACCCTCTATGACTCTGGTTTATTCAGAGCTCTTTGAAGGTAGATCGATGGATGCTAATTTGATGATACCGCAACTCTTATTAGGTTACTTCTTAGTCATCGCTAGATTCCCGGAAATTTCCTGGTGAAATATGGCAGAAACATTTATAGTACAAGGCTGGAACAATGTTTGGCTCAATAATAATTCAGCACATTTTGTAGCCTTTTCTACGAACTCTTGGTATCATCAATGTTCATAAAGCGGCCTCTAAATTCGTGGAAACTTCACATATTTCTGAAAGTGACTCACCATTCATCAACACTTCGCCTAAATATAAGTACCCTGCCTTACCAAAGTGTTACATGCAACACTATCCCAATCGCAATGGCAGGCAGTAAATCCGGATTTATTTCTGGCCGCTGTGCGTGGGTCCTCACTCTTTCTCACGGTGTCCACAAGTTTACCGCACGTTCCCAAACCGCTCGATCACTTTCTCTTCTTGTCCTTTCAGCATGGGCCACTGCCGGAGTCAGTCCCAGCCGGAGGTACCGATACGGAGAGCCTCCTGGCTAAGGACCAGCCTGCGACGAGCCTCCAAGTAAGAGACGTTATTTAGAAAAATATGATGCATCAATATCGATGTTTTTTTCTTTTACTTTTTGGTAGGTAGGGGGTTGGCGGGCATTTGTAGCCAAGAAAGGGCTCTAGCGGCCTCTCGGGCCTCTGAATATTTAGCCTTTATGACTTACTTTAATTATATAAAATGCCAGAACTGCTGCTTATATATAGAGCGCGGCGTTATCGTCTTTTCTTTGCCGTAGTAACTAAACAAAATCCGTATTCAATTTTGTTCCCTATCGTGATTGCTATTCTTTTGCGGTTTTCATGAATCATGCATCACTATACGGAATACACAGACGCTGTGGTTTAGTTGCTGGCGGAATACTTTCCGCATAAGTAGAACCTGGTCACTGGCGCATCCTGGCACCAATGCGCAAATGGGACACCTGCGAGAATATGGGACATTTAGCGTGACAGTTTCGAAGCAAAGCGCACGCGAGGACATTGCTTTCACAACAAGGTTTGCAATGTTCAATGCACATACAATGTGATGTTTATTGACATTTCTGTTCTTTTTATCTTTTTCAGAGACAGTGCCAGTGAGCTGCCGTCATCATTCAGACGATACGGCTCCATGAGGTGAGTTCTGGCATCCATTCACTTCACTTCACCTTCAATTCACCTCGTATCACTAAGCTAGCTATTCATTTCACTAAGCTAGATTCATACCAGTCTGTACATATTCAATTTACAAAATAGCTGGCGGGTCACATAGCAAATCGGTCCTTAATTGTCCTTCATCCAAGGACAGTCATGCGGCTCTTTCCAGTTGATTTCACTTCCCAATTTCGCACAAATCGACAATCCCGTAGTGAAATATATTTCGCATTCGACAGGTCACGCCCACCCAATAGCGGATGAAATTGGGGTGGGGAAGAGGTGTCGGATAGGGTAGGAGGGGGTCCAGCGGGGGGGGGGGGGGTAGAGGAGTAGGTAGAGTGTATGCAGAGGGTAGAGGAGGATAGAGGAGAGAGCCCGACCTGTTTCCACTCCACCCAGCCCGCATTTGGGCTGTTCGGGAAGCTCCGCAGCCACTGACGAATATCGATTCCGCCACTACGTATCTGATGACGTCATCCATATTTGACATCTGACGTCACCGATAGGGAGGCAGCCCCCTGCCGCTTATCGATTACGTGCACTTGTCTGTATGACTAACACTCTCATTTTGGTCCTATGCCTGATAAAGCGACGGTCATTTTAATTTCGCCAATGCGCAGCAGCGCGGTGAAATCGTTATCGAACCAAACTCCCCTTCAACCTGTCCAGCCTGGGACCATAATTCTGGTCCCAGCTGTGCTCATATCACGCAGTCACGCTCGGAGCGAGGTCGGGCCTCGCGAGGGTCGTCGAGTGCAGGGAAGTTTACGAGGGGTGCCCGGCACCGGGTGTTCCAATCGATACAGCCTGGGGCTCCAGGGCCGGGGTGCGCCGGGCACCTGACGGTGACAGGTGTGTTTTGATGTGGTGTGGTGTGGTGGCGACCCGGGCGTAGCTAAGCTACAGAGACATATAAGCAGTGGATGCCAGTGGATGCCAGATGTGGGCCTTCGGTGGCTGTGCCACCTAAGCAATCTTCTGACGGGCGGATATGTAGATTAGTTGTTCCAAGAAAAGAACGTGATCGATAAGTTTCAACACGGCCTGCTCTGTGGTGAAAGAAGAATTGTCCGCTTTTGCCTTTTGCTCATTGCCAAACAAATGAATCTAGATGCATTTTGCATTAGGTATTCATTCTACCCAAGAACATTCCCTCTGCTTGCTTTGGGCCCTTGCAAAAATAATGTGCCCTGACTCATATAGCGAACCGTTATTATCGTTACATAAAGCATGCCTGGTGTCGACGTAAATCCTCTCGTGTCGTACTTATTTGGTCCACACGAGTGTTGTATAACGCTGCCTACATAGCTGGGTGTAAAATTCCGATCAGTTTTGCGGTTCCCAGCCTACACATGGACAGGTATATGTCAGTCGGCATGCAATGGCGTGGCTGCATGGATGCTTGCGTTTCTATGCTTTTTTGATAAATCATGTTGATTAGAACGGTGAACGGTGTTGGGTAGTTATGCCTTCCTACCAATAGCCCCAGCGGGCGACTGCTACATGCATTTTGAACATGCTGTACGCTGACTTTTGATCATATGGTTCTTCGTGTCTGGTGATTTAAACGATCACTCTGCAGTCACTGCGGATCTAAATAAACTGATTGGGCCGTTCTATGACCTCTCAGACTGCTAGTTTAATTAGGAGTTAAAGAAATCTAACAGAGAATACTAGCTGACCTCGGGCTCAGCCGTATACTGATTGGATAATACCTTGTTTGGCTTTTGTTAGCCGCTTAGCTTTTGGACTTTTGGCGCTCAGTAACCCTGCTTGATCTGAAAACAGGTAGGGCACAGTCAAGTCAAGTGAGCCACAACACAAAAACTAACGGATGTTTTGGCTTTCTCCTTGGGTGGCCATGCTTTCCCCGCATTTGAATCTCGGCCGATCTACTATCATGGTCGGAGTGTGTTTTGTTTGTTTGTTTGTTTGTTTTGTTGGGTTAGGCCCTTTCGGTCGACAAGACCATTTCAGAGCCGGGAGGATGATAGGATATAGGGGGAGACATTGGTCTGGGCAGGCACCCTAGTGAGTCGCCGGGGCTGAGCCCGTCCGAAGACAGGCCACCCAGCCCCAAGGCACTCACTGCACCCGGCTACGGGGTGCGCTCCCTCAGGAGCAGCGGTGCCGCTCCAAGGGAGCAGCCCGCATGAGATAAAGTTGCCTGTCCAGCCCGGATGGGGGTGGCGGTGTGGAGGAGAAGGATTTCAGTATCCTGAGGATAGAAGCATGGAACGGTGTGTCAGAGTGTGCTTTCCATTGCCATTTCGTCCTCCCATGAATGGTCTTGCCTCGTGACAGCCTCATGACTGTCACGCGAACTTCCACCTTACACACTAGCGACCTCTATTCATGCATAACTAAAACGCAGCTTAGAAACCAGTCGCTAGGTGGCAGCACCCGGACCTGAGCCTCCTGAGAGAAAGTGAGCGGCCGACTGCGGTCGGTGGTAACTGGGGAGGACGGAGGCGGTCTCACAGCAGCCTTCAGTGAGCTGGAGGGTGGCGAGCGGCGGGCTGCGTGCCGCCTATAGCTCACCAGTGAGAGAGTGAGAGAGTGGGTGAGAGTGAAGGACAGGGTGAGAGAGGAGAGTGGGCTGGACCCGCTGAGTCGAGGACGGGATATGGAGGAACCGGTGGCTGCCTGACGGCATCATGTATAGGAACTCGAGCTGGAGAAGGTAAGGATGTCGATGGAAAACACTCCACAAGTCCAGAGAGAGGTCACTCCTTTGTGCTCTGCTCGTAGTTTGTCTGGGATGGGAAGTGTTTGACGGTGCTCTAGCGCTGTGATGAAAAGCATCTAGCGTTTTTTAATGTTGCATGTGAAATGAAGGCATACAGCAAAATTTAAAATCAAAGTTTTATCTTTTTTTCGAATTGCTCCTCCATGCCGTCTGTCACAAATTAGGGACTTGAACCCAGTAAACCTGCAAGTCTGCCACTTGCCATGAGGTCTTATCATTGACCCTCATGTTGAAATGTGCAACACCACACGGACTGTCATTTCGAATGGGGACAAACGGTGCTGGATATTAGCTTTATGAACGGATGAAATACTCGGCGTCTTTGGAATTAGGAAATTCACGTGCGCTAGCATTGCATGCAGGTACATAGGTCGCATATCTTAACTCCGCCCAATGCGCACGTTTTGGTCCCACACTTAGTGCGGCATGTCTTCTAACTTGCACCCTGTTAACTGCGATTTTTGACTTGTTCGCCTTCGTTTGTAGTTGTTTACTTAATTTTCCTTTGATAGAATGTTGTGAACATGCATCAAGACATTGTTTGTTTCGTGGGATAGGAAATCGTGCACCATGTTGGATTTAATTCCGAACTGTTCGGGGTGTTGCGTGTTATATTTCTGTGTCTTTTAATGGTTTCTGAAAAAGAAAGCAACTTTTCAGTCACACTTGCATGTTAGTCGTGCTATTGTGCTGTTTCCTTTCGGGAACGGGGTACCACATGATTCGTGACATTGTATGGAAAATCCTGAACAGAAACCAAGGCTGTGATCAAAGTCAAAGCCGCTCTGAATTTTCTAATGACCGTAACATTTTGCTAATAGGTGGCATGTTCGGTGCAAAATATAACTCAACCTTGAAATTAGATACATTGTATTCGGCATCCCCCTTGAATTCGAAAGTTTTTTCTTGTCATGGGCGCATTCAATCATACGCTGACAATCAATGATGAAATTTGGTCGATACAATTATTCGTGAAATAAAATGACCATTGCCATGATACGGGTCCGTGATCACTGCAAATATGCACCGCACCTCACGCACCTTCATTCCTGCGTGCCGTCTCCCCGCCCAGCTGTTATGCACCCACTGAAGGTCGCCCCCCCCCCCTCCAGACGTCCGAGGTCACCCCGTCCCCTCCCCCTCCTGTACCGCCCCGTATGCAGGCCAGGTCCCGTGATATACCCTGGCGGGCCGTTTCATCAAGGTCGTGAGCAAGGGCAAGTAGGCGTTCGATGAATCGATGAAGAATGTCGACTACCTGGCTGCCCAGGAACTCTGGTCAAATGTCACGTATTGAGCGCTGAGACTGGACAAAAAAGGCCGGGAGTGCTTCGAATGTAGGCAAGCATTTGCATATTGCAGTTTCTGTTGAAGCTATGTGGAGAAGCAAGTGCACTCATTCTGTTTGAATAAAAGATGGACAATTCTAGCCGTGAAAGCACTGGATTCGTATGAGGAGACTGACCAAGGAATTTGATGAAAGCCGTCTCTGTTCGGAGATGCATAGTAAGCGCACTGTCCTGTATTGCGCTAAATTCAACGCTCTCTACACGTGGTGTTCAACAACGTGCAAAATGCAATTGCCACAATGTCCAAGCACATGAATGCAAGCTCTGTCAGAAATGGGACCTAATGCTTCTGAAAGAGATCCACCAATCACGCTGGATGAATAACTGAACATAAGCTGCGGACGGTGTGTTGTCCGTTTTGGCAGCGTCATCACACCTTTGACAGTCAGACATCGGGGTCAGATGAGGTCACAGCCCGGGATTACCCTGGGGTCAGCTCGGGGTCACCCTGGGGTCAGTTGGGGTCAGTTGGCGTCAGCGTCCGCTCCATGGGACCATCCATCCGCTCTGTCAAGTCTGGTGTTTTGAGGTCAACTAGGTCACGACTGTCTGGGAGTGCTATGTGTGAACTGCGGTGAAAAGATGACTTGGTATTCGGGCGTGAATACTGTATGCCGGTACTGCCCCGTGGTGTAAGTGCACGTAGGCTTGGTTGTCGTCGTGCTGTTGTTGCGTTCTGAGATGGGAATGCAGCGTCTTGCTATAACCAGAGCACTGTCACGCAAGCATGCTGCATTGTATCAATGATTGCCGGTTGTTGCTCGCTCACATTCCTCTCTGATTTTTTTTTTTTTGCCGTCAACATGCATGTCAACGGACATTGATTAGCCTGGCTTCGGCGATAAAATATCAACACAGCTTTTTCTTTAACAACCCTTTTC